TTTTTTTATTGTGTGACTAACTAGACTTCTCTCTTTCTAGCTCCTCGATTCATCAAACTAGTAAGTGTGACATATAGTCTTCAAATGTTCATCAATCAAAAATTAAATTTACCGAAACCTATTCGGGTTATTTATGTTGCTGGTCTTGATTTATTTAATCGTTGCTGTGGTCTGACATCATTGAGAGCACCTCAGATGGGTGGTGTTGCTGTAGTTTATCGTTTAGGTCAAGATGATCGTTTTATAACATCGACACATACACAGGATGATACCAAACTATTTTATGTATGTACTGATAATGATGATGATGCTATGGATACATCAAGTTCAGATTTGGACGATATTAGTTCAACATTAATTCGAAAACGCTACAAAAACAATGAAAATTGTGATCATTTAACTTTTAAATCAGTTTTGGATCACCTGAAAATGATATCATCGACGAAGAATTAAAGATTTATATTATTTTCTTTTGTATGATTTGAGCTTTGAAATCAGTGTCTGACTATGATTCGTTCAGATTTTGTTGTGATTTAAATATATTGTCACTTTTTAAATATTTTGATATTTATTTCTTGATATCAAGATGTCACAATTTCGTCTATGACTTGAGACACATTCATATCTATTTCATAGTAACTAAAAAAAATAAATTTCGAGACAGTTCTTAAGTGAATCAGATATGCAACATTATTTAGATTTTCTTTAGTACTTACTGTTTTTCACACGTCAATGTTTATTGATAATAAAATAATTCATATTTATATAGTACTAAGAAGATTTCTCTTATAAATTAATATTTTGATTCACGTTGAAGTTTAATTCTTCAGCTATTATTCATTGTTTCATTGCATGAGAGAATCTCATCAATAAATTCTAAGTTTTGGAATCAATATTTTGCCACAAAGTCAGAAAAATCACAAAAAGTTTTCTCTAGATAAGATATTATTTTGGAATGATTATTTCGAATGAATTTTCTTCCTGTGAGAGAATGCATCATCAGGGAAACTTTGATTAATTAAAAACAAAAAAAGAAACAAAAGCCAAACTAATAATATCCTATTTCAATTGTTCTATCGATATCTTACATTCAACTAAAAATTCAGTAAAATGATAATAGCTCGCGAATGAGGAACTACTTAGATCAATCAAAAAGTACTGTCGGAGATACCTTATTTCCTAATAGTAAGTCAAATGAAGTTTTCTTTTTTTTAATAGAATGATAGAGAAAATGATGCTCTATTTTTCTATGCTATATCATCACTATGCAAACAGTATCATAATAGTAGAGTTTTGACTGGAATTATTTTTGTATGAAACTTAACTTTTGTATTAGATCATTTTATCATCTTTTTTTATGCACTTTTTGGTTTTTTCTTCGTTCTTCTCGTATGTTTTCTTTCTTTTTTCATTTTCTCCTCTCTTGTGTTGCTTAACCCTCCATACCTATATGTGTAAGGACACATGTCTCATTAATTGTGGGTATGTGTAGCTTATTTATGTAGACTCAAGAAAATCAAAGAAAAAAAGTTAGATTAAACTTCAACACTGTTCACCTGTTTCAGATGAATACGAAAAATTTCCACTTCTATATAAAAATCCGTACTGCATTTAACATTGAAGCAAGAGTTATTCATGCATCTCTGACCATTTACACCTTACAAAAATCACCGCTCGTTATACACCCAAGCATCTGACTGATTTTCAACGGGCTGAACGGGTTCAAATATGCAAACAAAATTTAGCAAAACTTGACCAAGGAACATGGCGCTTATGTAATGTGGTGACAGGTGACGAATCCTAGTTTTATCATAAACAAATCGATCGAAAGGCATCAAATGCCGCTTGTGTATCAGAAGGAGACCCTCCATCTACAATAGTTCGTCGCAGTAAGTTTGCTCCAAAAACTTCATTTCACATCTTTTTCAAGTCTATTAGTTCGCTTCTAATTCATCATGTGGAACGCAGGCAAACTATTGACCACCGGTATTACTTCGACAACTGTTTGCAACTTCTCGTCAATGAGATCCAGCACCAAAGACTCTCATGTATTCATCAAAATTCTGAGCACTAAATCACACAGAATGAACTGATCGAATGAAACTACAGAAATACTTCGTGTGTTGAACTTGACATCATATAGAGAAAATCAGCTAATTTTGACATATTATTCCATGGTCGGTAGGCTAAAGTATCTGATTTTCTCGATAAGCCACTCTTAATTCTAGATGACTGTCTACTTTTCGTGATTGTTGACGGATCCAGTTGAACCTGCTGGACAAAGCGACGAAAAAAATTGATTCATTTTTGTTTGACCTATGCTTGTCCTATATGAATCGCAAGTGTTGACTATGCTCTCTTCGTTCTTGAATATGCCAAAGCATGCACTGGCCTAAAAAATTGTAGATGTATGATGGGAAATGCAAAAACGTCTGCGGATCTGATTGTAACCGTAGACGGTTAATTAGAGATAGATAAAATAAAAATGCGAGGGGGAAAAATCTCATTCGGACATTCCGACCATTCTCAGTCATTCCAATCCATTCCGAGTCAAACAGATATATCCAGTGTTTGTCTGCTATCAGGTCAAAGATCAAAGGTCAACCGCAAGGGAAGACACCTATTCAGACATTCCAGTCCATTCGAATTCATGCTCAGCCATTCCAAGCCATTCAAATGACTCGGAATGAGATTTTTTTCTGTTGACAAAAACTAACTATAGATTTCGGTACCTCGACTACGAAAACATTATGTCATATTTTAAAAATTTGGTTCAAACTGTTTTTTTAATCCCTCTTTATACGAGACAATCAATTTCAAGATTTAAACAAAATATCTATGAATTCTAATTCTTTAACTCTGAAAACCTACAATTGATTGTGAGAAAAATACTTGCTTTCTTGTAATATTGCCTCTTGAACGAAAATAATCAAGCTCATAAGATTTTCCGTTACTAGGCAACATAACGGTAACGTCCCTCATCTATTTGTGAGTTTGTTTTCTGAAATTTGTTTCATCCATCCTCTTTTGTAATATCTGATTGTAGTCTTTCATATAAAGTTTTATTTTATTCACTTATTTAAAAAAAAAGTAAACATAAGCAACGCAAAATTTCATTTTTTTCTGTCTTAATGTTCTGACTTTGTTCAATGATTCATTTATGTCAATATCACTGTAATGTCAAATTTGCACTGGCGTTTTTCGTTCTGTTGAAGTTGAGTTAATAAGTTGAGTTGATTTCCGTTAACTGCTAAAGACGGACATGTCGTATTACGAAGGATGAGTTGAATACCACTTTGGAAAACAAGTTGAGTGTTGACGGTTTTGTTCTTGAAATTCATAATGTTAACATCGATCTCATAAGTTTCGAAAAGTATGGATGCGTTATTATTGCTCTTCGATGTCAAATTGCTTTTTGCGACATAGCGAACATCATTGTCATAACCAACACTAATTGATTGCGTGTAATTTTCTGGAACATCAGGTAAATTCGATTGACCAACAAGTATTCGATTATCATTAATAGAAATGATGCCGGCCGGCATAAAATGATCAGGTGTCAAATCGTAATTTCTTTCAAAGACACCTTGATACTGTCCTCTGTTCATAGTTGTCAACGCTTTATAATAGAATTGATACTTAGCAACAATATCAATAAATGGTAAACGAATAGAACTCAACGAACGAAGTGTATATTGATCATTCAATGAATACGAATACAAACCTTTTTGTTCTCCGTCACTTTGAATTTTCTGCAAGTCTGCACTTGCTTGTCTGAGAAGAGACATATCATTAAAGTTTGGATTACTGGTAGCTAATTGTATATCACCACCTAACAAATGGGTATTTTCTACATTATATTCTTGTTGTTGACCATTCTTAATATTTGCATAAGCACGAAGTTTGGTCTCTAACATATAAGGAAATATTTAATAGCAGAACATTTAAATTAAAAAATTAATCAACTCACCATTGTTGTCTGTCAAAAAGAGATCATAGTTCGGTTTCCACGTGATTCCTTTCATTAAATAGGACAATGTTCCATTATATTCTGTCATATTACTTTCAAATTGAAACACTAATACTGTTCCACCATTATTTGGTCGTACTGATGTATATTCGATCGACAGTTTATCAGCATAAAAATATGCTCCTGTATTCAAATTTTGAAGTAACATCGAATTGGGATCGATAATTTTCGCTTGAATCGTTTCACATTGACATACTGTGGATCGTTGTACTTTTACCTGGGCATCTTGGAGTGATTCAATGGTATTGTAAATTTCTTGTCGAACAAATGGTGTACCTTCCCAACTGATTGATCCATCAATTATGTTTTCGTATTCAGAGTTTATAAATTCATGCTTATATACACCAAGTCCATTATGAAGCTGATTAATTTGAGTAAAGCCTTTGTAAATAAACAATTCGACGGCCAGCAATGACCGACTTAGATAGATCAGAGTAAAACAAAAAAGCAACATGCTGTTGATGTGCCTAGAATAATCAAAGTTTCTAGGTACCGATGCGTCACAAATTTTTTTAGAGAATACTAATGCGTTTATGTAAATAGACCCCATGAAACATCAAACGCTATCATGTTCTAAACTCTCTCATGCAACCGATTCAGCATAAAATAATAAGCAACGGTACACCAAGAGCTAGGATTTTTTCGAAAATAATTTTGTTCGCACAGTCCAAAGTATAATCTATCATATGGCTCGACTTTCTCTTCTATTGTTTTAGACAATTTAGTTTTCGACTTTCTTTAAATTTCGATGAATAAATGTAAAAGAAAGGATATTTTTTAACCGAGAATCGAACCCATGATAGAATACTGATTTTTCGAATCAGTTCTCTAAACATTCAAGTATTGAAGTATGGTGAATATAGATTTTTCTCTCTAAATGATATGTAACAATTGAAAGGTATAGAAGTTGACATGAGATGTACGAACGACTTGGACATAGCAAGACGACTTTTGAACCAGGGAGAGATGATGGTCGTTTTATCCCTTTCCTTTCCTCTTTCGAGGTTCATGTAGTGTGTTCAAAGCTTTAATGGAACAACGATAATGTTTTTGACTATACTATTTTTACTTCGTTTGACTTTTGATAACTCAATATCATTCAGAGAGAAAACTGAGACGTTGAGCAGAGCAAATGGTGCTCATGCAAAAATTCTTGCCTGAGCTCAACTTGATTATTTAAGCGTCGTCCAGTATGACAGGATGCAGAATCTTATCTAAAGTACATTCATATGTACTTGAAAATTACTCATATACCTTTCTTCTGTAACAATGAAAACACTGACAGTCATGAAAACTTCAGTGACTAAATGAAATATCAAGAGAAATTCCAACTTCTATTGTCACTCTTGGACTTCTCGAAAAAAAAA